CCAGGACCCTCCTCTCTGGCAATGCCTTTGGTGTCCGCCGAAGGGCAAGAGATAGGCCCGGGGCCAAGCACGTCCACGCAGCCACAGGTGGACAGTAATGAGGGAGATGAGTCTTGGCTGGATCCTCGGCAGCGTCGCAGAGATAACCGCGCGCAACAGAAGAAGAGGCGTGCCAGAGATTAAGCTGAATCACTGGACCACACCCCACAGGGTATAAAAGGGGGTGAGGTGGCCATTCAGACTCTGTGACGGACAAAACTAACTACTATCGAGTCACATTGCATCTTTGGAAACAGCATTATCTGCCTTGGATTTAATTACGGACTGGACAATGCTTGAACTGTGTGTATCTTGTTTATGAGTAAAGTTCTTGGCAAGCAGCTACTGGGTTGCCAAGCCTCTTATCGGAAGAATTGGTTGTCTGCCAGTTTATTTAATCCCTGGCTGTCTGTTTGTGTGCGTGTGTGAGATGGGGACAGAACACAGGCCCCCCTTGTTCTCCATTGTCTCCAGGAGTTTCCCCAAATATATGTTCATTGTGTCAATGACACATCTAACCATCTCATCCTCTGCCATTCCCTTCTCCTTTTGCCAAATTAACAGTTCAGGCTTATTCTTTAAATGGAGTTGTACTTCGTTTTTTTGTTTGCTGTGGGATGGGATATTTGGGGGCTATTACTGTGAATATAGGGATGCAGTGGCTCAGTGGCTAAGATGCTAAGCTTGTCGATCGAGAAGTCAGCAGTTCAGCAGTTCGAATCCCCAGTGCCGTGTAACGGGGTGAGCTCCCGTGACTTGTCCCAGCTTCTGCCAACCTAACAGTTCGAAAGCAGGTAAAAAATGCAAGTAGAAAAATAGGGACCACCTTTGGTGGGAAGGGAACAGCGTTCCGTGCGCCTTTGGCGTTGAGTCATGCTGGTCACATGACCACGGAGACGTCTTCGGACAGCACTGGCTCTTCGGCTTTGAAACGGAGATGAGCACCGCCCCCTAGAGGTGGGAATGACTAGCACATATGTGCAAGGGGAACCTTTACTTTTACTTTACTGTGAATATCTTTTTTCCTTGTGTTTTCTACTTGGGTAAGAGGCTGGAAGACAGGAATATTTGACAGGGGTAAAGAGTCGATAAATAAATGAAGCCATCCATCCATACTTGAGTTTACATCCGTATGGGTGGATGTGATACCGAGGGTGAATTATGGAGCATGTGATCACTCCAATTAGAGCCTTCTGGTCATTATCTAAATCTCACCAGGAATGAACTATAATGACTCTGCAGCTTTGATATCAGGTTGAGAAGCAAATAATGAGGATCATAGGTTGCTTCTGTTCTCTAGCAGATTGCCGGTGATCCAAATCAAGCCTGTTAATTTCTTCAATTTTATATTCTTTTTGGTCTTCCTTCTAACCTTATACAGATAGTCCTCCACTTACAACTACAATTCAACCCAAAATTTCTGTGGCCAATTCAGACAGTGTTTAAGTAGGTTTTGCTCCATTTCACGACCTTTCTTGTCACAGTTGTTAAGTGAATCACTGCACTTGTTAAGTTAGTAACACAGTTGTTAAGTGAATCTGGCTTCCCCATTGCCTTTGCTTATCAGAAGGTCACAAAAGGGGATCATGTGACCCCGGGACACTGCAACCGTCATAAATATGCACCAGTTGCCAAGCGTCTGAATTTTGATCACGTGACTACAGGGATGCTGCGACAGTCATAAATGTGAAGAATAGTCAGACATCGCATTTTTCAGTGCTGCTGTAACATCAAAAGGAATTCTGGGAGATGAAGTCCACAAGATTCCTGCTTTAGAGTTTCAACCTAAAAGCCTTGAATGTGGAGGCTATATCTGGCCTACCAAACATCTACTCTATGGTAGTACCTGCCATAGCTGGAACTCTATGGTCCTGCCATAGCCAGAACTCTATGGTTCTATCATAGAGTAAAATCCATAGAGTCACAGTGTTCATGCTATGTAACCCTGGTCCATTCAGCCCAACACTGACTGACAATACATAGTTCTCAACTTCCTACCCCCATTTAGTCCAGAATTTCCATTACTAAGCACGGCGGGTAGAAATAGCAATAGCATTTAGGCTTATATACAGTGGTGCAGTGGCCTAGAGGTGGAGCTCTTGCCTCACAATCAGGAGGCTGTGAGTTCGATCCTAGGTAGAAACAGATATTTCTCTCTCGGTACATTGAAAATATATCTGCTGAATATAACTCCGCATTGGTGACAGGAAGGGCATCCGGCCAATAAACACTCAGCTCCATTCAATTGCCCAGATTCCACCCAGCAAACGATTATGGGGTCATTAAAAGGAGATAATGATGATGATTTAGGCTTATATACCACCCCATAGAGCTTTATAGCACTCTCTGGGCAATTTATAATGTTGGAAACATTATTTACATATTTGCATAACAATCTGAGTCCTCATTTTACTGATCTCAAAAGGATGGAAGGCTGAGTCAACCTTGAGCCTGTCAGGATTGAACTCCAGGCTGTGGGTGCTGCAACACTGCACTTTAACCCCTGTGCCACCAGGGTTCCAAGTGAGTCACACTCGATTTTATAACCTTTTTTTGCCTCGGTTGTTAAGCAGATCACTGCAGTTGCTAAGTGAATCAGGAGATTGTTAAGCAAATACAGTTTCTCCTATTAGCTTTGATCATTGGGTGCCAGCAGGGAAGGTTAACAGACAGAGATCACATGACCCTGGGATGCTACGACTGTCATAAATACATGCCGAGCATCATGACTGGACATAAGTCATTTTTTTTCAGTGCCATTGTAACTTTGAACAGTCGTTAAACGAACACTTGTAAGTCAAGGGCTATCTGTATTACTCACCATTGGCCACATTTTCAGCGGAGAACCCCAGTATAAAAGCTGCAGGCTGCATTCCCACCGAATCACAGCTGATCCCTCCCCAGCAAAGGCACAAAATCAAGATACCTTTGGCCAACTCGGTCCTTGGGCTGCCCAAATCTTCAGCAAAGATTCGATCGCCCGAACTCCGATTCTTAAAAACGCAACCCCCGCATGAGCAATCTTCCCCACCCGCCTTTTCCCACCCGCCCGGGCCAAACCGATGCGTCTCTATTTTCATTATTTTTAAGTGCATTGCTTAACTCTCGGCGCTGATCCCTTTGCCTCAAAGGAAAGGTCTCCATCTCCTTGAACCTTTGGCCCAGGGTGCCACAATAGTCGCAACATTCTCCTCCAATCTTTGTCGTGCCTGTGCTGCAAATCCCCGGAATCAGATTGCTACCCAAAGAAAGAAAATAAAAGTGGAATCGCAGCCCCCCCCCCCCCCCCCCCGCCCCCCGCTTCCCCCCCTCCTCCCTCCCCCCCCCCCCCCACCCCCACCCACTCTGCCTCCGTCTGTAATTCAAGGGCAAATTGTTTCTCTCTCCTGCTCGCAAGAACTGAGCTCTTGAGCATAAATTTCAAACAGCTGCTGCCTGGGTGGTGTGGTGATTTAAGAGCCGTAGCCTTTGACTCCTGCTTCCAACCCTGTTTAAAACCTAAAGTGGGATGGCTAGGAGGTTGGGGCATTTTCATCCCCAGGGGGACAATTCATTCAGGTATATTGCACAAAGGCTGCAAACAAGCCGGTCTCTGCTTTTTCTCTTAGAGAGGGGTCATTATTCTGCAGGAGACACTGGATGGAGAAACAGCAGGCTGGCTGAGAAGAGCACATTGATCTAAATAAAACAGAAGCGGGGATCTGGACCGCACAATGGGCCACTCTGCTCTCAGAAGGACCGCTGGGAGGGGGGGGCGGGCAAGAGAAAGCTTTTCAGTTTGCATCTTGTGTCTTTTCCACGGGGTTTTGGGATGTGCGTGGCCGCTGAAAGTGCCTCTTTGAGAGTTGCAGGATCCAATCTGGGTCGTTCACCGGGACCGGAGGTTTAGGCTTCTGAGGTTTCGGACTCATGCTGGAGCCCATCCTCGGGGAACTTTTGTATGTTTTTTATCTGGCTGTACACCGCCCTGAGTCCCTCGGGAGAAGGTGCGGTATATAAATTTGAAATAAAATAAAATAAAATAATAAATAAATAAAAAACTTCACTCTCTCTCCAGAATGGGTGAAGATGGGCTATTCTATGTGTCATACTTATGGGGTGCCTGGGTGTGTTGTAGTTTTTTAAGGTAAAGGTAAAGGTTCCCCTCGTGCATATGTGCTAGTCATTCCTGACTCTAGGGGGTGGTGCTCATCTCCGTTTCAAAGCCGAAGAGCCAGCGCTGTCCGAAGACGTCTCCATGGTCATGTGGCCGGCATGACTCAACGCCAAAGGCGCACAGAACGCTGTTACCTTCCCACCAAGAAGCTGGGACAAGTAACGGGAGCTCACCCCGTTACATGGCACTGGGGATTCAAACCGCTGAACTGCCGACCTTTTGATCGACAAGCTCAGCGTCTTAGCCACTGAGCCACCGTCTCCCTTTCTGTAGCTTTTTAGTTGTTGATTAATAGCTGGTGATCAACACCCCAATCAACAACTGAAAAGCCACACACAACCGGACACCCCATAAATACGATGCACATAATAGCCCAAAGTATACACATTCTGGTGAAACAGACGTTCCCTGGGGATGGGTTCTAGCACGAGTCCAAAACCTCGGTAGACAAAACCTCAGGTCCCGGTGACCAACCCAGATTGGATCCTGCAACATTATCCTGGGAACATGTGTGCATTTGCCTTCATTCGTCTTTGAGAGTTGTCCAAAGCATGGGCTGGCTGGGGAATTCTGGGAGTTGAAGTCCACAAGTCTTTTATGTACACTGAGAGCGTATGCACCAAGACAAATTCCTTGTGTGTCCAATCACACTTGGCCAATAAAAAATTCTATTCTATTCTATTCTATTCTATTCTATTCTATTCTATTCTATTCTATTCTATTCTATTCTATTCTATTCTTAAAAAGTTGCCAAATTTGGACATCCCTGTTTTAAAATCATGATCCACAAAGAAGAAAGGCTTACTTTGTTGAGTGCTCCAGCACCGGTCAAGATTATATGTGAATTTTCCACCTGGATTGTCCTTTGTCCCAGCCGGACAACGTAAGCCCCAATTCCAATGGCACGGCAGGTCACCTAAAAACAAAATAAATGAGTATTCAGATCAATTCTGCAGCATTTTTGGCGAACCTTTTGCACTCAATACATGAATGCAAGGAAGCACCAGAACAGGAATGGACTGTTTATTTTTTGAAGCAGAATGCCCACTTATACTAAAAGAAGCCCCCTCTACAGCTGATGCATTCGCTTCATGAATAACACGCCTGATTTGACCTGGAAAGCATTTCATGTGAAGGCCTCCAATTCTGGAAAAAGACAACAGTACACCCGTTTGGTGTACTGGTGAAGGTGCTGGACTGGAAATCAGGAGAGTGTGAGTTCTAGGTCTCCCTTAGGCATGAAAGCCAACTGGGTGACTTCGGGAGCATCACTTCCTCTCAATCCAACACAACTCACAGCATTGTTGTGAGGAAAAGAGGAGGAGGAGGAGGAGGAGGAAGTATGTTTGCTACCTTGAGTTGATGGGGGAGGAGAGGGAGAGGGAAGGAAGGAGGGAGAAGGAAAGAAGGGAGGGAGGGGGAGAGGGGAGGAAGGGAGGGAAGGAGGAAGAAAGAAAGAGAGAGAAGAAAGAAAGGGAGAAAGAAAGGAGGGAGGGAGGGAGGAAGGAAGAGAGAAAGTGAAAGAGAAAGAGAAAGGAAGGAAGGAAGGAAAGGAGGGAGGGTGGGTGGGAGGAAGAAGGGAGGGAGGGAGGAAGAGAGAGAGAAAGAAAGAAAGGAGGGAGGGAGGAAGAGAGAAAGAGAAAGGAAGGAAGGGAGGGAGAGAGAGAGAGAGAGAGAGAGAAAGAAAGAAAGAAAGAAAGAAAGAAAGAAAGAAAGAAAGAAAGAAAGAAAGAAAGAAAGGAAGGAAGGAGAGGGTGGGTGGGTGGGAGGAAGGAAAGGAAGGAAGGAAGAAAAAGAAGGAAGGAAGATTAATGATAAATATTTCCCAATTTACTTCCCACAAGAGGATGGGGAGGAGTAATAGTTGGCCCAATGAATGACTTGTCAATAATCTCTGAATACCAAGCCATGCCAAACGTATTCCAGTCTAAACAAGACTCAAGATCTTCCAATGATCTGACTGGGCGCGTCATGCAAAGGGAGCCCCCCGTTGCACCATCTCCCCGAAACAGAATCAAAACGGCCCTTTCTGATCTCATCGCATCCAGTCCGTATCGGAAAACATCCTGCCAAGATCTTCTTAGCCTCTTCCATGGTTCCACCTCTTCCTTAAGTGAGACCCACACGAGAAAGAGCGATGAGCAGCCAGGGCATAGCCTCTCCCAAGGCTTCCGCTGCTTTTCACTTGGCACATCGGAGGTCTACAGCTCTCTGCCAGAAGTTTGCATGAGTAAGTATATCTGCTGGTGGGGCCAACACTTGAAGGGCCCTGTTGATTACAGCTGCTTGAATCTAGGAGGCCAACGAAAGCCTCATCTGCCTTATCTTCTCCCCTCCTAACCCCACCATCCCACCTCACAATTGTGGATTTACCAGATTAATTGTGATGATCTCTTCATAAGCAAGGGATGATTCCCCAGCAATCATGCCAGATCCTCTCAGGTTCTCGGTCCCCAGGCCATCTTCTTTCCCAATAATATCTGTAATTTTATACCTGATACAGGGTGGAAGGAAAGATCAGGGAGCAGTAGAGGAAACACCCACCCACCCCCGCAAACACACAAGTATTATATTTGGCACTAAAATACTAGTAGTTCCTAGCTTGATTACTATAGAGCATCCTCTGGATCTACACCTACACAACTCACATCCTCCTTGATGGATTGCTATTGATATTTAATACATAAATAATATTCATTATAGTCAAAGACCAACACAAAAACAAATCAAAACAAACTAATACAATCCAAAAACATAATCTCTCTCCTCCCTTCCTCTCTCTTTACCTGTTTGTGTGTGTCTTATGTTCAGGTTAGCCCAAATAGTGCACAATGTTTGAACCAACATATTTAAAATCCACTAACATTAAGAATGCATAAAAAAATATATCTGGGAGACATTACGCTTGTGGAATTGATATTTCCATGATATTCACACCAGTTTTATTCACAAAACTGTGGCCAGGGCAGCCCACAATCATGTGATCGTGATTTCTGATGTTTCCTACCAGCTTCCCACGAGCAAAGTCAATGGGGAAGCCTGCAGGAAATCAGAAGTTGCTCCTGCTGCTTTTTCGCCTGCTCATTCTGTTTATCTCTTTAAGAAAGTAAACATTGACTTATCATTGAAGTTCTTTTGCCATTTTTTTCTTCCTATAGTATATACTCTTCTTAGATGGTTATAGTTAAAAAAAAAAGGGGGGTGTGTAAAAATATGGTCAGCCTAAAATGTTACATTCGTTTTAAAATTTAATGTTCATCAATCTTCTCCACCTTTGTCTCTAGGATAACCCCAAGTCCACATGTCTTCAAGTTTTCAAGTTTGAAAAACACTGCTCTGCAATGTGTATGTATATTTGTATGTGTGTGTATCAGTGGTGAAATCCAGCAGGTTCTGACAGGTTCTGGAGAACTGATAGCGGAAATTTTGAGTCGTTCGAAGAACCAGTAGCGGAAATTTTGAGTCGTTCAGCGAACCGGTAGTGGAAATTTTGAGTAGTTCGGAGAACCGGCAAATACCACCTCTGGCTGACCCCAGAGTGGAGTGGGAATGGAGATTTTGCAATATCCTTCCCCTGGAGTGGGGTGGGAATGGAGATTTTGCAGGATCCTTCCCCTGCCATACCCACCAAGCCATGCCCACAGAACCGGTAGGGAAAAATTTTGGATTTCACCCCTGGTGTGTATGTTGTAGTCACCGCCACTTTTTCTCTTTGGATTGCTATTTTGCCATCTCCACCAAAAATGGACATCTGCTGGAGAGTCCCGAATTGGAGGAGGACAGCAAGCCTGCAACTTTTGAACTGAATAACTCTCATTATAGGACTTTTTGCTCTTCTCTTGAGGACTATAGACATACATACCTCGATTCTCCTTCGTCTTCCACGTGTTCACAATGTACTGAGTTCAAGGCACTAACTTTCTTATAATCTTGAGGAGTTAGGTACAGATACTTGAATCCCTGGAAAAGGGAAGGGGGTGAAGAAAAGAGATAAAATAGCATAAGGGAAGTTCTACTACTCTTATCCCAAATCTGAACTGCACATTCAAATAATAACATCTGGCAAAAAAAACAACAACCCACATCTGTTAAAATAACTATACATGATTTGTGGCTGCAAATGACATTAAAGAGACTTTTAAGATTTGTGAGATGAACTGAATGATGGCGATTTCAGTTGTGCATTGCAAACAAACCAGGTTTCTAGTTCTCATTGTGATAATATGAAAGTGCAGGTAGCCCTCGACATACGACCACAATTGAGCCCAAACTTTACAGTGCTAAGTAAGACAGTTAAATGAAATTTTGCCTTATTTTACAACCTTTCTTGCTACAGTTGTTAAGTGAATTGTTGCAGTTGTTAAATTAGTAACAGGGTTCTTAAGTGAATCTGGCTTCCCCATTGACTTTCCTCGTTAGAAGGTCGCAAAAGGTGATCCCGTGATCCAGGCACACTGCAACTGTCATAAATTCATGTCAGCTGCCAAGTGTCCAAGTTTTGATTATGTGATCTGCAACGGTTATATGCCTGAAAAATGGTCATAAGTCATTTTTTTCCAGTTCCATTGAACCTTTGAATGAATGATTGTAAGTCAAAGTTTACCTGTACTAATTCTGCTTATACCACTAGACTACAATCAACTTTGCTGATTCGTTGGCTGCAGCCCTTGAAAGTAGCAAGGTGTCTTTTGTGCATCCACATGCATGCACACACCCAAGAGAATGAGAGAGATACATTTTACGGTAATTTAAATTACTTTTCCTCATCCCAACTCCACCATCATACTCAGTAGTGGGATTCAGCCAGTTTGGGCCAGTTCAGGCAAACCGGTAGTTAAATTGCTGACTGGTCCCGCCCCTTTCCACCCCACCCCTTCCAGGAGTCCCGACGCGCCCCATTTTGGCTCCCAGGTAAGTGCAAGGAGGCCTCCTAGGCCCAAAATGAGCACGGGGGGAGGGGGGGTTTGCAGCGCCCCTCCGCGACCCTTTTTCGCTCCCAGGTGGCTTCAGGGAGGCCTCCTAGACCCAAAATGTGGCGCAGGGAGGTGCGGCGCCCACCCCCCGCGTCCTGTTTTCGCTCCCAGGAGGCTGCACAGAGGCCTACTAGGTCTAAAACGGGACATGGGGGGGCAGCGTGTCCCCCCCCGCAGTCAGTTTTTGCTCCCAGGGGGGTGCAGGAGACCGAGTGCTGCCTGTCACACCCCCTGGCCACGCCCACCCAGCCGATCATTAGGGCAGAGAACCAGTTGTTAAATTATTTGAATCCCTCCACTGCATACCATGCTTCTAAAGATCCTTACCTTATAGGGGTCGGCTGGATCTTCCCATGCGACGTGGAACATGTGACGAATTTCTTCAGCCAAGCCAATCCGGGCCCCACTGTTGGCAGCAACATAAACCCGAGGGATACCCAGCCCCCGAGCCAGCTCTGATGCTCTGAGAAAAAGCAAGTCTTCTTGGGGACCAAAAGACCCGATCTTATATGTGATGTCGTTGCTAATGACAACGATGTCTCGGCCGTCTGTATATTCAGGGGTCTTGAGAGTCATGCGCCAAGCCACCATTCCAATCTGCAAAAACAAGAATGGTTGATATTTCATTATTGATCATTGCTAGGATTAGAACATTGTTTTTCAAACTTTGCAACTTTAAGTTGTGTGCACGTCAATGCCAGGCCAGCATACCTTAAAACTTCCAGAATTACCCAATCAGTATCCTTTAAGATGAGTGGACTTCAACTCCCAGAATTCTAGGCTAGCATGCTTTAAGATGGATGGACTTCCATTCCCAAAATTCCATAGCTATCATGCTTTAAAATGGGTGGACATCAAGTCCCAAAATTCCACAGCTAGCATGCTTTAAGATGGGTGGACTTCAACTCCCAGAATTCTAGGCTAGCATGCTTTAAGATGGGTGGACTTCGTCCCAGAATTCCATAGCTAATATGCTTTAGAATGGGTGGATTTCAACTCCCAGAACTCCCAGGGAGACCTGCTAGGCCCAAAACGGGATGCGGGGAGGTGCGGCACAATTCCCCCCACAGCCCGTTTTTGGTCCCAGGAGGCTGCAGGGAGGCCTGCTAGGCCCAAAATCGGGCATTGGGGGTGCAGAACGACCCCCTCCAGCCTGTTTTTGGTCCCAGGAGGCTACAGGGAGGCCTGCTAGGCCCAAAACGGGATGGGGTGGGTAGCCCGCACCCCCCTCCTCCCGGTATGTGCGCGTGACCATCCCCCTGCGCATGGGTCACTGAGGACAAGGCTTTCCTTGATGTTATCCAGGGTCATGCCGTGCCAGGTTTCATAGGAATTAACCAGCCCTTGGACTACCATGGTATCTTTATCCAGACAGGGGGGAAAAAGAAATAAAAGAAAAAAACTATGAGGGGTCCTTAGGGCTCTCTGAGCTTGGTTGTTTTCTTGCAGACGTTTCATGACCTAACTAGGGAACATCATCAGTTCTGTAAGAGAGTGGGATTGCGTTAGCACTGGTGATGTTACCTAGTTTGGGTAATGAAACATGTACAAGAAAACAAGTGAGCTCAGAGTGCACCAGGGACCCCTCATTTCAACCCTGAGGTGCAAATATTCTCCTTTATTGGGAAAAAAAAAAACTATTCTCCCAAATAATCCGTTGGTAGCATGCCTATCCTTAACAGAGCAAAAAATAAATAAAAATAAAACCTCAAGGGGGAGCGGGGAATTGGGGGAAAAAGTAAGAGGAAATATTGCTTCTAAAGAAATGTTTTTCTTTTTCTTCTTTCTGTGTATGTTGGTGAAATGAGGATGTGGGCCATTGTATTTTCAGAAAGAAGTAGTAGAGTCGTTATTTATTATTTTCCTGTAGAAACCCATTTGGCCTGTAAGGTATCACTGGCCAGCATTGGGGGTCGGGGAGGAATCAAAACCCAATGAATTATTCACAAGCTCCGATCAGAAGCAATCATTATTTCTGATGTTTCAAACTGTGATTAGGGCTCGGTGGTGGGGAAGACATTGATTCCATGGATAAAAAAAAACTAAAATATGGCAGTTCAGAATAGCATGGTGAGAGAGGTAGGTAGGTAGGTAGGTAGGTAGGTAGGTAGGTAGGTAGGTAGGTAGGTAGGAAGGAAGGAAGGAAGGAAGGAAGGAAGGAAGGAAGGAAGGAAGGAAGGAAGGAAGGAAGGAAGGAAGATACTTAACGTTCAGCCTGTATTCTGGAGTGTATATAATTTTTCACATATGTTCCCGGTCAAATACCCCACCCATTGGAAACTGCAGCTTAAGAGACACGGTAGCCAAAGCTTCAGATGATAATAACACTCGCTGTAATGTTATGCACAGTTGAAATGAACTGGAATTATTGCAGGAAAATCATCTTTGGATTGTGCTCAAAGTTATGATAGTATGTGAAACTGATAGAATGCATTTCAACAAGAGGAAAATGCCCCTTGAGCCAGGGAAATATTATTGTTCTGTACACAAAGCACTTTTTAAAGTATTGTCTGTCTGTCTGTCATCTCTCCCCCCCATCTATCTATCTATCTATCTATCTATCTATCTATCTATCTATCGATCATCTCTATCCCGAAGCTCTCCCCCACTCTCTGCACACAACCATAAAGAGTTAGTAAATTGTAATATATTGTATTATAATTTTCAATTTGCATGCAACCTCAGTCAGGAATGGCTTACATTTTAAGGTTAAAAGAACAGTAGAAACAAAATACAACGAGAACTGCCTCAAACCAGCTATATAGAATATCAGAGAGGGAGAAAGGGAACATTAAATCAAAGACCCAAAGTTCCTATCGTTTTATTTTATCCCAATCCTGCTGAAAACTCAGTTATTACAGCTTAACAAAAGCACAACCGACTCAGGATGATACAGATTTTGGAAGGAAAGCTGTTCCACAAGACTTTCTGATTTTTGAAGCATGTCACTAAGCTAGCTGGAGAGAAAATGGATTCTCTACATTTATATATATTATAAAGCCAGTTTGGTCTGGCACCAAGCGCCAGACTAGAAAGCAGGAAACTGTGAGTTCAAGTCCTGCCTTTTGCCATAAAAGCCGGTTGGGTGGCTTTGGACCAATCAGCAGAAGATGGTGTGTCCTAGTCCTGGCTTAGTCATGGAAGCCAGCTGGGTGACTTTGAGCCAATCCTTCTCTCTCAGCCCAACCCACCTCACAGGGTTGTTGTTGTGAGGAAAATAGGAGGAGGAAGGTATGTTGGATATGTTCGCAACAGCAGTGGGTTTCACATTTTGTTGGTACTGGTTTGGCGTGTGCGCATGCGCGCACATGCTTCATACGCACATGCATCTTCTGTACATGCGCCCAGTCTTCCATGCATGTGCTTTGCTTGCATGTGTGTTTTCCGCGCACGTGCCCAGCCTCAAAACCATGCCTAAATAGGACGGCATGGAGCCGGGACAGGTAGGCAGGCCCATCCGCGATCTCCGCTACCAGTATGAACTGGCTGAATACCACCTCTGGTTCGCAGCCTTGGATTATTTTGTAAAAATAATAAAGGCAGGATACAAACAAACAAATAAAAACCATCCATTGAGAGTCAACTGCAGTGGTGGGTTCCACCCGGTTCAGCCCGGTTCCCCCGAGCCGGTAGCAGTGACGATATGACGTCACCAAACCAGTTCTGGCCCTCCCCCATCCCCCCCCTGCATTATTCTTACCATTTATTTGGCCCCACCCCCAATCTATTGCTGCCTCCTGAGTCCCAGCTGATGGGCTATAAGGAAAAACTGTTTAAACTCTTGCCCTGGTGCTTCAAAGGGCCTCCCTACAGCTGATCAGTGGTAAAAGGCACTTTGGTGGTAGACTGGTGCCTCCAAAAACAAATGAATAGACCAGTGCCTGCAAAAATAAATGGGTAGACCAGTGCCTGCAAAAATACATGAGTAGATCAGTGCCTGCAAAAATACATGAGTAAATCAGTGCCTGCAAAAATACATGAGTAGATCAGTGCCTGCAAAAATAAATGGGTAGACCGGTACAGCTCTGCAAGCAGTTAAAAGCCTGGTAGACCAGTACCTCTGCTAAATCCTAAAGAATTGTCACATGGCCATCAAGCCACGCCCACAAAATAAGCCACGCCCACAGAACTGGTAGTAAAAAAATTTAGAACCCACCCCTGGTCAATTGGTCACAATTTCAGAAGATCAGTCTTAGGAATTTGCATCCCGGAGAACCATTTTCAGGACCTGGCAATCTGGAGCCCAGTTTTTAAAGGGAACCGATTTGTTAGAGGATAAATAGATATAACTGGCAGCACCAAAAAAAAAAAAATTCCCAGACTTTTAAAGGACGTAAGGCCATGCGGTTACGTTGCTTGGTAACATGACCTTAATACAAGCCTCTGCGCCAAAGGACTGAAAAATGGACAATATAACACGAGGGTTATTTTTAAAAAAGATCCATGAGCAATCCAGAAATCCACAGGCTATTTAAACTGAAGTCTGTTCTGGGTAAATTGGTGAAAAATGGCAATTCAAGGATAAAAGTGTCAAATCTGTCAAACAATAAGCAGCTTCTAAAAAGATAAGTTTAGTAACCTTTCAAAGCATTTTAGCTGTATCAAGAGGTGTATGGATAAGGTGGCTCCAGTAAGCTTGATAGGTAGTCCTCGACTTAACAACAGTTCATTTAGTGACCATTTGAAGTTGCAACAGCACTGAAAGAAGCGACACACGAACGTTTTTCACGCTTACGACTGCTGCAGCAGCCCCTTGGTCAGATGATCAAGATTCAGACGCTTAGTGACTGACTCATATTTATGTCGGTTGCAGAGTCCTGGGTCATATGAATATATTTTGCGACTTTCCGACAATCAAAGTCAACGGGAAAGGCAGATTCACTTAACAGACGTATTACCAACTTAACAACTGCAGTGATTCAGTTAACAACTGTGGCAAGAATGGTTGTAAAGTGGGACAAAACTCACTTAACAACTGTCTCGGTTAGCAACATAAACTTTCAGATCAAGACAAGGACTACCTGTATTTATTTAGATTACTTAAAAGGAGCCTTGGTAGTACAGTGGTTTAAAGCACCCTGTTATTAAGACCAGCTGCCTGCAATTACTGCAGGTTCGAATCTCGCCAAGGCTCAAGGTTGATTCAGCCTTCCATCCTTTCTAAGGTAGGTAAATTGAGGACCCAGATTATGGGGGCAATAAGCTGACTTTGTATAAATATACAAAAGGATGAAGGCTATTGCTGAGCACATTGTAAGCTGCCCTGAGTCTCCGGAGAAGGGCGGCATATAAATCAAATTAAAAAAAAAAAAGTAGTGCAGAGAAGAGCAACAAAGATGGTTAGGATGGCCTGGAGGCTAAAACATATAAAGAACGGTTGCTGGAATTATGTATATCTAGGTTAATCAAAGGAAGGACTAGGGGAGACATGATAGCAGTCTTCTGATATCTCAGGGGTGCCCCAAAGAAGAGGGAGTCAAGCTATTCTCCAAAGCACCTGAGGGCAGGACAAGAAGCAATGGGTGGAAACTCATCAAGGAGAGAAGCAACTTAGAACTAAGGAGAAATTTCCTGACAGTGAGAACAATTAACCCGTG